CTAGTGTGTATACATACATATATATATATATATATATATATATATATATATTACATAAGTTAATCAAATTCACCATAATATGATCTGTAACGTTAGTACTCCAAACAAAATATTAAGTAACTAGGGCATCTAAACTGAAAATATAAAATTTTCAAGTTAGTTTAATCCTTGATTCGCTCCTCATTTTATCCCTATCACTGGCATATTACAGAAGTACAAAAAGCATTCCTAGATCTGTTGAAATCTCTGTGTAATATCAACTAAATACAATCTTTGAAGTTTACTGTATGTTACTTGCAGGACTTATTGTGTACAAAGTTATTTGCACATGTTTAAAACAATGCAATTGTATTCATTCATGTACTATTGGTAATTAAAAACAAAAAACAGCATGGCCATTAAACAATATTACAATGAAATTATGTACGTTTGTGTTTTATGCATAAATTTTTTAATTACTGTAAAACTCAAGTGATGCTTTCTAGATTATTTGAAAATTAAGTAAATTGACAACGAAAGAGTAACAGTACGAAACAAAATTAGAGATCTGGTGAAGCGCTACATCTTACAAGTTCTTTGGTTTAATAAAGTTAATCTGTTCTTGTGAGGATAATTAGGTATTATAATCTCTTTGCAATGAATTTATCATACATGATAATTCAAAAGATGGTCACCTTCTAAATATTTTTTTCATTTCAACCTGTAGATGCCAGGTACTTAAGAATGGAAGAAAACAGCAGGCAGGCCTCTGGTCCCACGGCCTTGCCTGGAGGCTTTATCCCTTCAAATGTTGGACAAGGTACTGCAACGGGACCTTTCGTAAGCCAGGAATCATCGATGGTAAACTATTCACACACTTCTCCTCCACCATATCAAATACATTCAGAGCCAGTTGAATTTCTGGATCTTGAATATTCGAGAAGCTCTCCTTTTAACACAGTAGAACCTCAAAATTCAGGCGTGCAGGTTTCATTCGCTAATTCAGGTCTTGAAGTAAATCCATATGAACAACCAGTCTTGTATAAATTAATATCTAATGTTCCAGGACAGCAATCAACACCATTCCCAACGAGGATTACTTTGACTTCATCACAAGCACTGTTTAATTCAACAGAATATCTAACTAATCTTTCCAATCCAGAATCCAAAACACAAAGATTCTCAGGTACACCAACACTTACGTCTAGTGACGAAAAGTCTACTGAAGGACTTACTGCTCGTCTTTTAGACAATGACACCAATCCATCTTCCCTTACAAGAGGATTGTCGGATGTAGCGTCTTCTCAAAACGATACAAGCGTGGATTTAGTTGGATATAGACCTTGGAAAGAAGTTGAAGGGAAGAGACAAACAGTCAATGAATCACGAAAGTTTGTTGAAGATTCCAAGCAGGTTGACAGACCCCCAAGTGCTTGTCAGGAAGACACACTGAGGAGGCCTAGTAGTCGTACGCTGGTAGGGCTAGAAGTGCAAAGCCAAGTCAGGAGTGATCTAGTCTCTCCTGGAGAAACTACTGGATCTCCTTCGAGACCTCCCTCCCATTTTTCTTCAGGACCATCTCCTAGACCAAACAGTACAGATCAGCCTGAAATTAAATCTCCACACAAACACATGCCTGTACTAATTGAAAAGGAAAGTTATCACTCGTTTCTGCCACAGTCTCAGGTTATGGTTCAGCCAAATACTTCCATTGCAGAATTAAATAACCTGTCTCTGACATACTATGGTCGTGCCAATACGCCATTTGAAATAGCACAAGCTCATACGTCTCAGTTACAACAAACACAGCAAAAGCACCTTAATAGTGGCAACTTTATATTTTTTGATAGCAAACACTTTGAAAGAGAGCCAGAATCTTCCACACCTGATAGTAGAGAAACAATTCAAGATTCTTTCCAAGTGCCTTCGGTTTCATCTACCACACCTCGACAGGTTATTTCGCCAATGTCGATGGTATCAGTACCGCTCCAAGTGACTCAGATGGAAGCCGTCCACCTTAGTGGGCATCAGTCTGTGCCTCAAGTTTCAGAAACAACAGATAAACCTAAAAAGAAACGAAAAAGGTGCGGTGATTGTCCAGGTTGCATGAAAAAAGAAAACTGTGGAGGATGTGGTCCATGTAAAAGTGTTCGAAGTCACCAAATTTGTAAGCTCAGAAAGTGTGACCAGCTGAAGACAAAGAAAGAAAAGGTAAAAACAAAAGGTATTTTAAGTGATGTATGGTAGTTTGTATGTTTTAGCGCTAAGCTCTACAACAGTCTATTGCTCTGTCCACCGTAAAGAATCGAACCCTGGATTTTTAGAGCTGTAAGTGTGACCTACGGAGTGAACAGGTATAGCAGTATTTTAATGAAATTTTAAACACAAATACATTACTGTTATATATACTATAAATATACTTTTAAAGAATTGGAAACAGGGGTTACCAGCGGGTCAAAACGATATTGATTAAATCATTGAAAAATATAAGGAAATTCCGATGTTCGAAACACTTAATTGGGAAAAAAGTTAACGAACTTATTTATACACAACAAGCTTATTGTTGTTGTTTTTTATTTGAATTATTATTTAATATATTCTGCAACGTTTGAACTTCATTTTACATCCTATTTGGTAGTTGTTAAGTTGGGTGTTTTGTAATTATACTGTATATATATTTTTTTTTCTTTTTTCGCATAGTAATGCAGGTGTCGTTACGCTCGGACTTCACTTTAGTGTTAATACGTGTTACTAAAAGAAGAATATATTATCCTGCATCCATGGAATGATTCATAATTGTCGCGTTAGCGTCATAAAACGCCATCCGCAAACGTAACTAATCGTCTGTGCATATGCCGTTTCAGGTCCCAGACTTGTTCTGTTCTGCTTGAACTCGACCATTGACCATTGTAGACTGAACGTTGGATCTCCTTTGTTGCCTGGTTATCGCAGCTGTGCCAAGTCTAGCAACTTTCTCTAAACAGCCCATCTGCTGTCTTTTAAAGGAAGTTGCTTTTTATGCGTCGCTTAGGATTTTGGAACATGTTTTCAAAAGATGATAAATCTTTTTTTTTTCTTACGAAAACGGTTATCGTTTCATTGAAATAGAATAACAAGGGAAAATAAATAAAATTAAACCACCTGGGAAAACAAAATCCAATATTGCAAAAAACAGGTTGCTATAGATACTTGTGTAACATTAGCAGCAGCTTTTTTATTATTATTAAGCAGCTGATGTTCGATGTTTAAGCGTACCCGTACATATAATTATGCAGTTTTACCTTTTCAACAATAAAATTAAACCCATTACAGATATGAAAAAAGTAAAACAAAATTCGTTAATGATAAATTATATGACATTTCTTGAACTACCACTCATTTTTCATTACTGAGGAAATAATAATAATTATTTAAAGAAGCATCAGCCTCTAGCCTATCACCCTCTGGTGACTGCTTCAGACCCTCGAGGCCTCTAGCCTATCACCCTCTGGTGACTTCCTCAGACCCTCAAGTCTATCACCATTTGCTGACCGCCTTTCACCCTCGAGGCCTCTAGCCTATCACCCTCTGGTGACTGCTTCAGACCCTCGAGGCCTCTAGCATATCACTCTGTTGACTTTCTCAGACCCTCGAGGCCTCTAGCCTTATCACCATCTGCTGACTTCCTCAGACCCTCGAGGTCTCTAGCCTTATCACCTCTGCTGACTTCCTCAGATCGAGGCTCTAGCCTATCACCCTCTGCTGACTTCCTCAGACCCTTGAGGCCTGTAGCCTATCACTCTCTGCTAACTATGCAGTAGTGCTAGAGTGCCAATTGCAGCTGTTGTTTTTCAATGAGGCATAAAGGCAAACTAACCTTCTAAACGTCTAAATCCAAACTAGCCTTTTCAATTTCAAACACTTATTTTCGTTAACTCAAGAGTATATATATATATATATAACAAACAGCCCTGAAAATATACATAATTGCGACTATGGGATCGTGAAAATTGTATAAATCTCTATATTTTGTATTGGTTACATTTGGTTTTTAGCGCTGACTGTGATAAATCAAAAGACTTTGAGTTGAACAGTCATTTCCTGTGTGCCAACCGTTCGTCTCGACTCTCTGCGGCAGAAATGAGTTATATTTAGAAACACTAGTAAAACGTGTACAAGTACCTGACGCATGTGTAGTGAACGAAAGTCGTCATTTATAAATAATGTTAAAAAAAAAACAGACAAAAATTACAATCTCTTAATATGAAGTCACAAAATAGTTTTATTTTGCAGCTATACTTAAAATCAAATCAGTTGCTAGAAGAATTATATTACGAATTTTAATGGACGACTACTTTAATCCTATTGAATTATTTATTTAAGTAGTTTTTAAAACGGCACTTCATATAATCTCGTGTTTCGACATTGACAACCACATCTACAATGTTGAAAGCATTTGTATGTATATTTGTCGTCAGGTTTGGATGTGTAATTCAGACGCGCAGAAGGGCACGTGCCCAACCCTACTTTTTCCAGTTGGTGTACATATCTTAATATTAAAAACTATAGCTTTTTTACCCCCTATTTTTCAACAAAGTTAACCCTCGTGATGTTAATAAATTTCTTTCTTTATATCTCTTCAGACATACACCATATCGTTTACACAGTATACATGCGTGTACAAGGTTTTGAATATTTAGTCCATATAAATAGTTTTCATTCTGATATAGTTCAAAAAGTTAGATCGATAAACTATGTATTCACAACTGCTGCACCCTCGCTTGGATGGGAACTTCCATAAATATAATGCAGGGAAGTAAAGACGACAGTGAGAGGGGAAATGTTAAGCGTCCCTAAAAGAAGGAGCCGGTCGAATCTTTCAAGTCCAGCTAGAATTCCCAGATGTGCTCATGATGAAAGCACTTGTCAAATACTTATCACGTTAAACGATCAGGTTATATTTCATTAAAATTTTGAATCAAATAACTCGTACTTACGTATATTAAAACATTATAATAGTATAAAAACAAACACAAAAAAACTCATTTTTATGTTCTCGAAACTTCCTAATTGATGTGCACTGTAAAAATATATGATTTGTGAACGAGGAAGAGTAACATTTTCATACTCTTAAATGACGGTAACAGTGGTGAAGGTTTTATTTCTATTAATCCGGTGTTGGCATAAAAAAATGACAGGCTCAATTAATTACACCCTCTAGTAATAACATATCTAGTCCTCGTTTGCTTGTTTTTTTCTAATTTCATCCTGTTATCGTAACACAGGATAAATAAAGTTGGCATGAAATACTTATATACCTGGGGAAAAAAACACTGTGACACCAACATTGTTGCTAGACAAATTTATCCATTAGGTACGGTGACTAAAGTAACTTTAAGGCATAAGAATCAACCTACTTCTATCATTTGTACTATATGTACTTCGTTTTATTATTATTGCCTATGCATTTCCTACACTACACTGAAAATTAAGCTTCAACAAAATCTTCATCTGTTATTATTCAGTTACAATATTTGTTGTGTTTATCAGTTTATATATATGGCGAAACTCTAAATTTAGTGACAATTACATAACAATAAATCTTTTTTTTTTTGTAAGGAAGCACATTATGCTAATATAATAATAGGTAGGCAAGCAATAATTTATAAGTAAAAGAAAAGGTTTTATTGACGGTGGAACATACTACATGTTTCGGCCAGGTGGTTAGGGCGCTCGACTCCCAATCTGAGGGTCGCGGGTTCGAATCCCCGTCACACCAAACATGCTCGCCCTTTCAGCCGTGGGGGCACTATAATGTGACGGTCAATCCCACTATTCGTTAGTAAAAGAGTAGCCAAAGAGTTGGCGGTGGGGGGTGATGACTAGTTGTCTTCCCTCTAGTCTTACACTGCTAAATTAGGGACGGCTAGCGCAGATAGCCCACGTGTAGCTTTGCGCGAAATTCAAAACAAACAAACTACATGTTTCAACAGAACATTGGCCTGTCTTCTTCTATGGGCGTCCGCAGAAATTTTTCCTGGGGGGTGGGGAAGTTATGTGAAATTGTGTAGTGAACAAAAAAATGCATATACTGAATGAATAATGAAAGAATTATGTTTATCATTTTCCAAGGGGGCAGGACCCCCTTGCCCCCTCCCTATGGATGCCCATGTCTTCTTCATACCTGAAGAAGGCAGATCAACATTCTGTCGAAACTTGTAGCACGTTCCACTATCAATAAACTTTTCCTTATGCTTATAAATCGTTGTTTGCCTATCTATTAATAGTTTATTTCGTCAAAACTTGAGTATTATAATTGCTACAACTGATTTCTTGTTTCCAAGATGTTATTAATATTAGAAACATGCTGCTTAAATAAATACTGTTCAAAAAACAGGAAAAAATATGGTTGTCCAAAATACCTTAGGGAAATGTCAATAAACCTGTTTTTATACTAGCGCCAGGATGATAAAATGGCGACAGTGCTTATAATAGAGAAAACGAATAATTTAGTTTTCACTTCACACACGTTCTATTGGTTAGTGGCGTTTATGCAATGAAGTAGCTGTTCTCCAGTCAACCTTCGAAAACAAACGACTCAACACCTATTAAATAGACAAGCTTCTTTTCTGATGTAGTGAGTGTGTATAGTGGTTGTCAGTTCTAGTTTTATCCATCATTGAACCAGCAGAAGAACCCATAAAAAACAAAGTTAGACTTCAAAAATTTAATCAAATATTTCAATCTATTCGTGTTATTCATAATTCAAGGAAAGATATTTGATTGTTGATCGGGAGTAAAAGGAAAGACCATTTCATTTTTCAAAAAAGTGAAGTCAGAGTTTTCAGATATTGTGATGAATTAGTTGATTATGTTGTGGTCTTTCCTCTTAAACCTTCTACAAATAAGAAACAGTAACACTTTATTTTTTCTTCGAAAAGAATTTCTCAATAATGTGCCTTGGTTATGGTAGGTAAGAAGATCTTGTTTTCGTCATCTTACCCCTTTTAATGAAGATGGGAACATTGACAGGAAAATAGATTTGAACGAAGAAATTTCGTAAAGAGCGCGTGTGATGTAAAATTACTCATGCTAGAAATTTCCATAAAAGTGACCCGAAAAACGGCGCTAAGTCGGTAACCCGTGGCCCGATTTTAACGAAACCTTTTTATTCTGTTTCTATTTTCATATCAATATAAATATGGCACCATTGTGTTTAATTACAGACAAGC